AAAGCATTTAGGAGGCTCAGGATGGCAGAAATGGAATATAATATTTAAGGTACAGTAGGGTATGTTTGTCACTTAGTGTATTAATGCACCGCTGAAAATAAGAACAGTTGTTGTTTGGTCTGTTACCTTGGTAGGATCAGACATGTATAGATGGAGGAGAAGGATGGTGGAGGGCTGCCATGTTGAACAGCCGTATTTCTACAGCAAGCCCACAATGGACATGACAAGCACGTCTGCTCTCCGGCCAGCCTTCTTGCGTTTTGAGCTACACGTTTGCCAGCCAGCCGTAGTACACACACAGCGCTGCTCTCAGTTCTTCAGGGTCGTGCAGAATAAGCAGAAAACCAGCGGCAACGTTGCCCTAAATCCTCCACACTGGTCCTTTAACAAAGCTTTTATTGTATGGCTTTTATCAAAAGCAAAGTCAGGTGGTAGGAAAGACCAGGCTGCAGCAGGCCAGTGCTAACTGTCTAACACAGTTAGCTGTTGAGAGAGAGTACAGTACATACTCAATGAACACCACTCAGGAAGCTTCATCAAGGGATTTACCAGACATTCACAGACAGTTCCGACAGGAAACAGAGTACGTGTTATCATCAGGCCGCCAATAGTGGGCGGTCGGCTGCCAGCCGAGCTGCAGGGCGCGAGGTTGAGCAAGACTGCACAGCCGATTGGACGCAACTGCCCTAAGAGCACATTCACTACGCTCCCATATGGAGGTAAATCTGGTGAGGAAAAGTAATGAAGAAAAAGAGAAAAGGATGAAGAAGACACAGAAAGACAAAAGATGTGAGGGGGAGGTGAGAAACGGTTAACTGAAAGTAACAAGTTACTTATTTCATTAAAATTCAGACCAAATAGGAAAAGCACTCATGTAAATAACAATATCCCTAACTTATTGTGAGTAGTGCATTTCAAAAAAATTCTGAAAATTCTGAACTACAACAATGAATTGATTTCTGATGCTACTGTTAGATATGTCTACTTAATGCTTTACTAATGTGCCACAATACACATTAGTAACGTAATAAAGTAAGTAATACACACACATGCATTAGAAGGTATAGTTAATCATCGGTATTTCATTAGTAATAGTACAACTTGTTATAATTACGTGACTTGAGTGTAGAACTTTTTACTTCTACATAGCTCCGACCAGCGAGGGGTTAACTCTACAAAGAAAAAATATTAGTTATTATATCATCACAAAAAACCTGTGCAGAACATGTTTGGTGGAAAAAAAAGTGAGTGGGTGAGAGACACACCAGTTTTGGTGGTGGATCCAGTCTTCTCCAGGGGCAGATCATCCAGCCAGTAAACAGAGCGACTGGGAAATAAAAAAAGAGGCCTCATAAGAGAAAGAGAGAGACATGGATGAAGAGATAGAGGGGGGGGGGTCCAGGCCTACCGGTCTGGATATCTGAGTCTGTTGGGTTTGGGTTGAGCAAGCCTCTCAGTCCGAGTTGCCATGGAAACAGTTGAAGCTGGTGGGGGAACAGGAACATGTTGAAATTATCCTATTACCCAACCAATATTACAGTGCGTCACAAAGAGGAGTGTGCACAGAATGTTTTGTTCAACACATGCAGGGACACATTTATGCAACGAAAATATAGCGCAGCTCCTACACAGTTGAAAAAACAATCATGGATTGGTTTATAGTGTAAATGTTCATTGGTTGCAGCTTTGATCCCATGTTTTACACTCTATTACTTATAAAAACACTTTGTACACGTCAAAAACTTTGGTTTACTCTACAATTATTTTTAAATATAGGTTACACACCCTGCGATTAACATCAGTAACCATCCAGTGAATTTAATCTTTAGCTGATTACATTAATAAGCCGATATACAATCATTTATCTGTAGCTTAAAGCTACTAAAGGTTTACCTGTACTGTCCTCTCACTGTGACACCGACACCTGCTGGTTGCTAGGGCATCAGGTGACACTGGTGTTGTACAGTACAGCAAAGATCGTCTATGTGCAGGGTGTGCAAAGATGTCCAACTCTACTTTTCTGTGCAGTCAGGTTATTTCCCAGTCACATAATAAGTGTACAGGGAGGGATGAGACATATGCATGTTTTCTTACTATGCTGACAGGCCTCAGCTAGTGGTTTGTATTGTGGTTCAGGGAAATTGTATAAACTGGAAAAGGGAGAAGAGTCAACTCTCTCTCCTCTTCACAATGGCCCCCATCCAGAGATTGTAGTTCAAGAACAGTGGTGGGAGAATTATTCAATTATTATTATTTCCTTTACTAGTAAAACTACCCATACAATCATGCTCTATTGCACAACCCGTGTTTAAATCTTCAGGGGAAGGACTGTCAATCAGCAGAGGTTTAATCTACCACAGACACTATCTTACTTTGTGGCTATAAAATAAACATCTGTTCATATGACATGCATTATGAAGCCCCCCTCACACTGTGAAATTCCAGTTTCACAATCTTACATTTTAAATTCACAAGTAAACAAACACAAAGACAATTTAAAAACAGATGACACCTTTATTTTCAACATTTAAAATCTTATAAAACAGCAAATAACAGTAAATAACCTACCAAAGCCACAAGCTTTCAATATAATACTGTAGTTACTATTCTTTAAACTAGTATTGCAGAAGTCTGTTACTGTGTGAAGTTAACAAGTCTGTTTGACATTATGTTGTCACTTTGTTGTTGTGGTTCACACATAATATGAACTGAGGAAGACACTGCAGGGCACACAGCTACAGCATCAAATAACATTCACAGGCCTCTGAAACACATAGAGAAACCCAGAGCCGACCCGGGTTAAATATGTAGTGTTTGGTTGATATTGTAACACTTAAAGGATAATAACAGTATTGTTTGCAATTACAGCACTTTAAAAAAACAAAAAAAACAACTGCATTTTATACCGCCTACATCTAGTTTTAATCCCCACGCCTCAAATCCATCCTTTTGTTAGATTTTTGTTTGTCACTTTAAAACATAAAATTCACAACAAAATAACTGTGTTGGTTGGAAAGCCAACCTAGATTATTGGCACAAAAGAAAACACCACTATTATCCTTTAAGTGACCTGACAGTAAAGTCTATCTCTGCAATACAGTAAGAGACATCTCCATGCAATAGTTTGTAGATTCTACTGTCTCAAGACATCTCAAGAGTTTTTTTTATACCTAAAAGTACTCCACCAATCTTAATATCAATGATTGCTGGTTCTTAGGAGTCCATGGTATTAAAATACAGGGATTTCAGTGATAAAACCAGTTCACAGGCGTATATTCATGAGCCATTGAGCTCTCTTATTAAGTTGCCAGTGTAGTTACTGGGGTTATGGTCAATGGAAAAGATGGCACCAGACAGTCCAATCTCTTGTGCAGTAGAATGGAAGTGGAAAGGCATGTAAGAAAGCAAAGGGGCAGAAATAGGTAAATATAGAGTATATATTGTATTCAGTAGCACCAAGAGAAAGCATATGTGAGTGTGTTAGTGTCAGAGGGTCTGCACTATGACAGGATACAGTAGGGACATATGCTCAGCTCCTCTGATCGGCAGCTTGTGTGTAGTGTAGTAGTGGATGACCTCGGGGATGGTGGAGAAGGGAGGGCTGTTCTCTCCGAGTACGAATCGCCCATCTGCAGACTGAGCGAACTTCATGTGCATGAAGCCCTTACAACTCCTGACAGAGAGGGAAAGAAGGAGGAAAGATTCATTAAATTGCTTGTCTGAGTCAAAACTAGACAGAAAGGCTGTTTCAGAGCAAACATTCACAACAAGACAGACTCCAGGGGAATACTGAGTGAGCAAGCGCATCTGGAAGGATGTTACGTTTCTGAAAACCATTACAGTAACCCACACTATTCTGGAAATAGGTATGAGCAAATAATACAAAGTAGTGCAGCCTAGGTTTACACCACACATTTGTTTGAACATCTGTGTAACACATGGTAAGCTCCACATCCTCACTAGGTTCTCTCTCTCTTTGTTTATGATCCTCTACCAGCAGCAGACTGTCCTCCCTGCTCCAGTGACTGTTTTCATTTCAGCCAATTTTGTATAAGTACATCAATATTTATATGGTTGATGGCTACCTGTTAATGCCTCTTTGGAGGATTCATTTTTATTATAATTTGGGGGCTTTTTTATGCCCTTATAGAGAATCCCAGCAAAGGGCCAAAGGCCAGAATCAAACCTGGGCCACTGCGGTAAGGACTGATCCTTGGGCTGCGTCCTCCACCAGGTGACCCACCAGAATCATTCTTAGGAATCTTTTGGAAAATTAATAATCAGAACTTTGATAAATGTGGACCCTGGACTGGAAGTGACACAGATCTCTTCTTTATTGTGACATTAAACATCAGAGAGATGAACACAGGGGCTTTCAGCGGGGTATGACTTATGACTTATGTTCCAGCACACACTGAGTACAGATGTCAGGTTAGGGACAAGTCTCTGCATGCAGACTCGCAAAACAGCTGCTTTTATGCTGATTACTCATACAGGCTTTAATCCCACTTGCAAAGGGGAAAGTGAGGGATGGGGGAAGGGAAGAGAAACACAAAAAAGTGACTGGGTGGGAGGAGAGATAATGGAAAAATGATGAAAAATTAAAAATTGCCTCAGGGTTCAAATTTGAGAAGATTCTCTCGCCACCCACAGACCATAATAATACCCAAATGGAGAATGAACTCGATCAGATAATTTTGGCTCACAGGGGTACAATTCCCCTTTAAGAGAGTGCAACAATGCTTCAAATTAAGACAGTATGAGGAGGATTTGTGGGGATTTTTGGGGGGGATTTGGTACAGCTTAGAATAAAGCGAGTGGTAAAAAAAACAACTGCTACAACTGGCACAGAGATGGGACAAGCCCAGTACGTGCAGTAAATAGCTCTTAATGGATAAATGTGTTTACCTGAGTGAGAGCGAGTAGTCGTTTCTGCAGGTCTGGCTGTTCCTCACCAGGTACGAGCTCTCCTTGCACAGAGTCAGTAGAGTCTCTGCCTCCGAGCGGCTCAGCGTTCCATGGTACCACCTGCAAGTGACCGGGAGAAAACATGACATTGAAACTGTTACTGAAATCCAAGCTGTGTATCACATCCTCTTACAGTCCCTTACAAGTTATCGCTTCAGGTTGAATCTTTACTCTACACCAGTGGTTTCCCGACCACAACTAAGGGTCGCTTTTAAGGTGCGTAAGAAAACTTAATATACACAGTAGGCCTTTATCTCAGCATTTGGTTCACTTCTGTGAAGAAAAGTAAGTAAATTGTCTGATAGAACAGGGAAAAAAAAAAACTTTAAATACATATGATTGTTAAAAATTATAAAGAGAATACATAATACAGAATATATAATACAGATAATTTTATAAATAAGAAATAATCTGCTCAAAATGAATCTAAATCACTCGTTTTAAAAACTAAACTATAGTTACTGAGGTCTCTATTTGGGTTCATTGTAGAGTTTCAAATATAATATGGAATAACCATAAAATATACCACTTAAGCATGGTTCGTCAATTTGCTAAATGATACAACCACTGCTCTACATCAGAAGTGCAAGCCACAGTGATTAACCATTCACAAAATTTTAATTGAAATTTAAAAACCATTGGTTCTTTTCTTAAGCAAAGCAAGGGAAAGTGGCTGAACTTTGCAGAATAAAACTGCACGTAGCCTCCAGACCTCTGAATCACAGCTCACATCTCTGATTTGTTCAGTGATTCAAACAGACCTGGCATTGTGCCCCCTGGTTACAGAAACAACTGACCATTGTGAGGCGCTTGGCCCGATTAAGGACGGTGATGTCATCTTCCTACATAACTTGTGAGCTACCTTAACGAAAACAACAACAACAACAGAGGAATGTGTGGTGTGCAATGTGGTTCATCCCCAAGTATCCACACTCAGGAGTGTGGGAAAGAAATGAGGAATTCTGAATCTGTAATGCTGACCAAAGCAATGTTTTAACAATGGTTGCGTTTTGACATCCGAGGGGTGTGAACATAGTGGTTAAGGTGTACATGCAATCATCTATGAAGAAACTGTGTCATCCGAGACTGCTGTCCTTGCAAAGCCTGCTTCCTTTCATTTCAGTAATGCTTGCGTACCCTTGCGTAAATTTCTATAATGAAGCAAACAGCTCAATGACAGCAGCCTGTGATGCAATCTCTAAGATATGTGCATGTTTTAATGCAAGCAATCCAAAGAAATGTACATTTTTCCTACTTTTCCTTTTATTTTCTATAACATTATTTTCTACAGTGATGTTTAGGAAATCGAGAAGATGTGTTTTTTGTATACGTGTTGCCTCACTCACATAAGTTTTGTATATTTTGGTAATGCTGCTCATAGACTTGACTGCACTTATTGTATGTATTGTATGAGCTGAATATTCCGTGCACTTAACACTGTATGTGAAGAGTATAGGAGCAAAGAGAATAAAGCATAGCAGCCGAAATGTCACTTGCTTGTACTTCACAATGTACCACAAGGTGTCAGTGTAGTAACAGACTAGAGCCAGGGGACACACATAATTAGACACAATAAAAAATAAACTCAACAGTCAACCTTTAAAATTAAATTTGTCCCAGTGGGAGGTGAAAAAAAAACCTGGGATTCATTCATTCAAGCATGAATCTTTGCATGCTACATAGCTCATGCTTACAAGCAACAGAATCTAAATTAGGAGATTATTAAGTGAGTAAGTAATGTGACGGTGAGAAAGACAAACACAGCTATCCAATGAGAGAAATCCTTTAAAAACACTGGCACTATCTTTTAACATTACAGATGTCCACTCACACTTGTCTCTCCAGCGGCATAGATGGATCCACTCTCTCTCCCAGGAGAGGAGGAGTGTCACCGACCAGACGGAGAGTGCTTGAGTCAGCTGTGGTCAATGTAGTTCCTGTCTTGGTGAGCCTGGTCTGCTCTGTCTGAGCTCGCGAGCGCTCCCTTTCTGCCCCTTCGAACTGAACTGTGAACACACAGAAAGATACAGCA